TTTTTTTTTTATAATCGATTAAAAATTGATATTTTAGATTTATCTAGAATTTAAGGTAGAAATTCTACCTTAAATTCTAGAGCGCGAATAAATTCTAAGGGAAAATAATTAGCATTAAATACAATAGAATAATTATAGAACGATCTAGAATATAAATTTAAACGATAAACTTGAATACAATGCTTTAGATATAGTTACTACATTATAAATTAAAGTCTAGAACATAGAACTTAAAGCTCTGGAATATGGACTCTAACGTATAAGCTCTATAAATAAGATTGTAGAATATATAGCCTATATATATATATATCCCTATAAAATATTCATATATAAGTTACTAGATTATAAATTAAAGTCTGTATAGCTTCTAGAAACTGTTTTTCCCCCCTTTCTTTCGTCCAATTCTCTTGATTACTTTAAGTGTCGTTACGCTTATTTAAATTTAAGAATTTATCACCAAAAAAAAAAAAGAAAGCTTTTTAAGATATTAAATCCTGAAAATATATTTTTTTTCGAGAAAAAAACAAAAATATAATCTTCGGATTATGTATAAAGTTTGAAAGTTTTAATGTGTACGGCTTTAATGGAACCCAGGAGACGACATTTTCTAGAGAACGATTATACAAGAAGCGCCTGTGTCTGTGTAATACGGCATTATAAAGAAGAAGCGAGAGAATACCGTGAATTGTTTGTGAGTTTTAATAAAAATAAAAACCTAACTAAGATCCTATCCTAATTGTTTTTAATCCATCAAGGATTCGTCGATGCGATAAATTGTTTTATGATTCCTGGTACGATCTACAAATGCAAGTGGGTCGGACAATCAAGCTGATGGATCCTCCAGATCACGTGGTGAGTTTGTCGGTGATTAAGACCACCATTAAGTCCCAAAGCGGGACATGGGGTCTGTCCTGACTTGTGTCAAACATTAATGACTCAATACAAATTTAATTACAAGTAGAACGCTCTGCTTGCCTATGTCCCGCACTCGGGGGACCACACAATCGGTCACATGATCCCCGAGATGCCCTCTAATATATCTAACTTGAAAGGTCTGAAGTTTTAAAGCTCTATCTAGAATTGTTCCGTTTTAATGATGTTATATGAGGTCTTGGATGAGTTTTGACTTTTATAGATTGGCTACTAGTGGTCCTTAACTCAAAGGGTAAACAAAGTTGAGGGCTTTAATCAATGGCGCTTTATTTTAGGTAAAGGGGAGAGAGAGAGAGAGAGAGGGAGAATCGAAAAGTTTTATATAAATTTTGTCTCATTTTGAATTTTATCAAATCTCATTGTTTTCGGTGGTGTTGACTCTTCCATTCGTTACTTCTTTTCGAGTGTACGAAACGGCCGCAAATCGAAAAGATTCATGAAATTTTAAAGATGAAAAGGGGGGCCATCAGCGAATGCTTCGTTTACATAAAGTTAAACACGCTCTCGTGCCATTTTGAGAGATGACAGAAGGATCCTTCCCATCGATTTTTCATTTATGATCATTATTTAAGGCCATTTTATCAGAAATTTTCTTTAAAATCTCCACATTTAACTCCAGTATAATTCTAGTAATTTTAAAATAAATAAATAATTTTTTTATTTATTTATCTATTTATTTTTAATCTATACAATTTACTGTATTTTGTAAAGTAAAAAAAAAAAAATTACTATAATTTACACGCAGCTTGAGAAAAATATATTTGAGAACAGTTTTAGTAGCCTATACAGTTGTAGCCCAAAAGTCAGTTGACTGTGTTTAATGTATTTCGTACGCACTCGTGAATATGAATTGTAATATTTTAAGAGGATAAAAGGGCTCGTGAGATGTTAAAATCATGACTAAGTATTCGAATAAGATAGCAATTTTTGGGTTTAACAGCGGTTAACTAACTTTTGGGCCACCCTTTAAATATATATAGCCTATAAAATAACAGACGTAAAGGGTGGCCCAAAAGTTAGTTAACCACTGTTAAACCCAAATTGCTATCTTATAAATATAAATATATAGGTTATATATATAGGCAAAAAATAATAGAATAAATTTAGAAATTAAGCTCTTCAAAACATTAAAAAATTATATAAAAAATTTTAAAGTTTCTTTAATAAATATTTAAAGTTATTTGATCAAAATAACGTAAGAATTACACGGAAGTACAACTTGTGTATCTTATAATTGTGTGAAACAGATAAAAACAATGCGAAAAATGTATATAAAATATTTAAAAATAAATAATTTAAAATTTATTTTTAAGACTTTTTCATTATTTTCTCTAGTAAATTCTACTTATTTGGCGCATCTAAATAGTGTTTAATCTACGGAGAGAACGTATTTACAAAGGAAAAAAAAAGAAGAGGGGGAGAAAGAGAGAAAAAAAAAGTGTGTAGTTTTTCAAAAAATTTAGATAAAACTTTTCAAAAGGTAAAAGCGCATTGCTAGAAGAATATTATAAACAATCTCTCGTAACAAAATCGATAGCGGTGACGTTAAGCAGGCGGCCATTTTGTGGTAAAAGGCATGCAGAGAGAGAAAGAGAGAGAGAGAGAGAGAGAGAGAAAGAGAGAGAAAGAAAGAGAGAAAGAGAGAGAGAGAGAGAGAGAGAGAGGAGATATTCAGAAAAGCGAATAACTAAAGTGCTTCAGCTTTTTTTATTTTTTTTTTGCCATTTTTATATAGGGATGTCATAATTATATGAAAACTTACCTGCACTCTAGCTTCGGTTAGATCCGTTTTCATGGCGATCTCTTCTCTGGTGTATATATCCGGATAGTGAGTCTCTTGGAAGGCCCTTTCCAGTTCTTTCAATTGGGCACTAGTGAAGGTTGTTCTGATTCTCCTTTGCTTGCGTTTTTCGGTTAGAACCCCTTCGTGGCCAGAGTATACTTTATACGGTATTCCAGCTGCAAGAGATAAGAGATTTTTTTTTTCAACGTTTAGTTTCGCTCATCTTCCATTTTTTATACGTGAATTTATACATTAATACATGTAAAATTTGAGGAGTTAGTTTTTCTTCCCTTCCACGTATTATTTGGGAGTGTTTTATCCGTTTTATGGCGCCATTTTCAGTCGAACGGCGCCTAGGCCTGGCTTGTTTCTAAGCCTAATTCGAATCGATTAAGTAGTGTTGAAATGTATAAAAATTCCTTCTTAAATGCGCTTAAAATAAGTCATTTTAGTCGAAATATCTTTAGTTTATAATCCTTCTTTCCTGTGGTTTAAATGTCTTCGGCTAAACAATGGTGTGAGGTATTCCTGGTAAGCACTTATTAATCAAAGATATATTGAGAATATTGAATTAAATTATAGTTCTTACTGTCCGTCTGTTGACTGATACGAAAGATTAGTAACTAGTCAATTCGTAACGCGAAACATTAAAGGCTACACTAGTCAAGTGGAGGGTGTAGGCCTACAAAATGTGTTCGTTTTTTCTTATTTTTTCTTATGTTTGGAGGGATACATACTAAAAAAGTAAATATAAATAAGCTTCAAATTGTTTAGAATAATTATTACTGTTTATATTTTACAATTTGCTTATTGCCTTTGCCTTGTAGGACAGTTAGAACACAGAATTCTTGAAGGCTAATCTATTCCTATTGAAGGCTCTCCGATACGAACGAAAATCATAAAAACAAATATGAAATTCGATAAAGAATCCTTCCCAGTATTTAGTTTTACCTGTAAACATCATCTAAAACATGAAAATTGGTGCTTTATCGAACATAAATAACATGCTACTGAATATATCATTTATCACACAGTAAACAAAGGAGAAATCATGTTTTACTTCAGCGAAATTTATCTACAACTTGTAAACTTTGAGATAATTTATTTAGAATTTGCAAAATTTCAATTCCTGTGTAGAGCAATGCGAAGATAATTTTGTCTCGCAGCTTGTATTAGTTTGTATTAGAAGAGGAGTCATCAGCAATTATAAGTATCTGGCTGGAATTTTTCTAGCATCAATATGCTTGCCATCTATCTACAATACAGCAAGAAGGGCTCCATTTGCAACACGTTATCACTCTTCAATTCAGCTGCAGTAGCTCAGAATCTCCCCCAGATCCACTCTTCTTACAAAGGGCTTAACATATTGAGAATCGAAATGCAGAGAGATTTGGATGTCAAAATTTGCGATCTTCCGACATCTTTTTTTTTTTTTTAATATCTTCCAATTGTACAGATGGGGGAGGAACCTCCAAAAATGCATGGTTTATGACGGACGAAAAGTTAAATTCGATTTGAAAACCAAAATGATGGTTATTTGGCTCCGGATATTTCTTACAAGAGTTGTTATTGGTCATTTTGTGTGTCAATCGGTCATTAAAAGTAAGAAGCTGCAATCAGTGCTTGTTATGTGACATTAACACACTCATAATTACAGTAACTCTAAGCTTAATCTAATCACCAAGTGCATCTGATTAGATTTAGATGTGACAGCGACAGACATGCAATTGCTGCTACTGCACAAATTCGTTTAAAGTGTTCTTGGTAGACAACAGGTTGGTTCGGTCTACGTCCTGACCTTTGTCTTTCTCCACTTCGTTCGGATGTATTTTAGCTACATAATCTAATTCTACATGTTTGCTTGCTAACTATACATAACACTTTATACGCCCACAAACAAGAATAAATTGTCTTTAAATTAAAACAGCTACAAAACCTGATTAATCCCTATTCGAAAGTAAACAAATTGCCCTAAAAATTAGGGATTTTTTCTTGAAATTAACTCACTTATTCTAGCCACGATCTACATACACTTTACAACGAAGCATTCTAGCATCATGTAGCGAGTTATTGTAAGTTTTTACATGCGTATACCTACAATATTTCAATTTCTAGGCCTTAAAATAAGCCTAGAAGTGGAAATGGCTCTAAAAAACAGTTAAAATATGAAGAATTTATGGTAAAAATTAACCATAGAAGCGAAATAACACAGCTTTGTAGACACCCCTCGTCTTAAATAATCGCATATTAAGTGGTTATATCTATGACTTTTTTTTTTTTTTTTTTGAATTTTAGGCCTCCTTTTATAAATTTAGGCCTAAGTGGCAGCGATTAATTTTACATTAAACTTCATTAGAAAGGCCAATTAGGCCTGTTTCAAACGAGTTAAGTTTGCGTGTGTATTATACGTGGGCCTAATGCAAAACTATAAAAGCTAAGTTCCGACCAGAATTAAACTCAATTCATTAATTGTAATCAAGGATAAATTGTGACTTAATTTAGATTTTGCCTTAATTGAGGTTTGTAATTAAGGGTAATGTAGCCTTAATTTAGATTTTCAATCATGGTGGTGATGAAATCTTAATATAGACCTTCAATTAAAGGTCTGTATTAAGATTTTAAAGTCTCAAATTATAGTATAAAAATTTCTTTTCCGATCGGGAATAAAAAGGCTTTAATTTAGCCTTAATTTAATGACAATTTTTTTAAATTTTAATCCTTAATTAAAAGTACCAAAAGTCTCAATTTAAGGCTTTTATCTTCAAAGAGATTATCAATCGAATAATTTAATTTTATCAAAACTTTTGCCTTAATTTCAAGTTTAGAACGATGTCTTTATTTAAATCCTAACCTTAAAAAGCCTTATTTTAACTTGAAATTCTACTTTTTAATTTGATTTTCTTCAATTATAGTAAGACCTTAGTGCATAGTTTACTCTAAATTTATAGTCAATAACTCTAAAAAAATATCATAATTTAGATTTTTTTCATTAAATTAGGCCTTAAACTAAAGATTAACAAAGGCATAATTTAAATTTTATTCTTAATTCGGCTGCTAAACCCTTAATTATCTAACTTTTGCCTTAATTCAGCTTCGTTATCAAAGAAAAACAGAGTTAAAATTATTAATTATATTTAAGAATAAAAATTAAACTAGGCTAATTTAAGCCTTAATTTTAATGAAGATTATTCTACTCTAAGCTTTAATTATGTTTATAAAAGGAATCTATTTAAAAATTCACTATTAAAAGCAAAATAGTAGGAATTAACGAATTTAAATTAAGAAGCTATAAGAAGTAGGCTTTAATTTAGTTTAACAAACAAATTATTTTATNTTTAATTATTAATTATATTCTGTAATAAATAACTGTAGATTAAATAATTATATAATTAATTATAATATTTATCAAGTAATATAGTGTATCATGCCAATGTATTGAAACCTATAGGTTAATAATACAACTGACTTTTGCTCTTTCACTCAATACAACCCTATAGACTTCTATGCAGGGGGTATTTAAAAATGGCGTCCACTGAGTGACAGAATTCTAGATCCTATTACGACACACATAAAACTATAGACACTAGAAGCAATGGATCCATTGATAAAACTCCAAACTATTCTCTGATTACTCCCTCAATGGGTTGCCCTATTGATGATACAGGGAAACGAACGGGTCCTATGCTCGATTGTTAATGCCCAAGATAGGCCTTTGTTAAACAGTAAGCTTTACCATTTCTAATTACCACAAGTTTCGGCTAAAGGAACCAACAACGCCATTCCATTTAGTTGATACAATTAATTAAATAACTAAAATAATTAATTTAGTCTATCGTGTTATGGAAAATGTAACACACAAACTTCGAGCCGTCTACTTACAGAATATAAATGTGTTAGGGGGTTACAGACAGATTTAAGGCCGTAGAATTCGAATAGAACGTTTTTTTTTACCCCCCTGACATAACAAATTATCAATTTTTACAGAATAAACTTTACGTAGTCTATTGGTGTTTACTCGAAGAAAGTTACCGTGTTTACAAACTAAGAAAAATGGGGGAAGGAAATGTATGTATATATGTATATATATATGTGTGTGTGTGTGTGTGCGTGCGTATGTTGCTACTATAATAAAAACAGAGATAAAATAGCCACGTTTTTTAACAAAATGAGCAAACATCAAGTATTCGTGGATAAATTTTTCGCTTCTGCAGTAAAGTTATCAAACATTCACTCGTGTAGTGTTTGGAGACTTTGAAGCCAGATGGCCGGACGAACATTTTGTTGACACAGTGTATGAGTTCTGTACATCACCCTGATTAACTCTGCCCTCCGCATCACTCTGTGTCCTTTTACTCCGGACAATGAAACAGGTTGGATAGCACGTGCTGTGGTAGGGGGCCCTTTTCTAGAGCCTGATGCCATTCCGGAGATCCCCCGGATGATCTGTTGTTTGATTATCAATGTGGCATATCAAGAAGCGATTTGTTTGCCGCATTTGCCAGCCACCCGGAGTTTAGTTTTGTATTTAATTGAAGGGTGCACTCTGCATCCCTAAACTTATTTTCTAATTGAAAAAATCCATAGTCTATTCTAACTATAGATGGATAGATTCTTAACTATTGATTTAATAGAAATTTTTAAGGCCATTTGTCTAATTGGAATTTAAGGAGGGGGGAAGAGAGGCCTACAGGAAGTAATGCACGACGTTGAATTAAATAGTAGATTTTCACTTGTAAACTTAATTCAACAAAATGTTGAGTTAACTGTCGCCATCTAAACACATTCAAAAGCATTACCCACGCCTGTATTAATGATACAATTGACCAACTGTTGTAATTCACAAAGTAGAATTTAGTTAAATTTAAGTTTAATTCTACAAATCTACAACCGATATACAGAACTTAATTGTAATCAAACACCTATTAAATAATATTTAGAGCTAATTTTGATAAGATAAAGTGGTCTATGTTTATATTATAAGTGAAAGTTGGCCTTTCTGTGTTAAGAAAATAATTTAAAAGTTATATAAATAAAAAATAATCTATTTAAATTTGATAACAAAAGATCGATTATGATATTTGTAGAACTTTAACACTGTATTTACAGTCTTTAATGCCGTAAATCAGTAAAATATAATCGTCATCACACGTAGTAAATCATACAAATGTAGATATTTAGACTACAAATCATAACATTTTGGTGATTTAGAACAATTGTAGGCTTATGTACTCCCTTCTGATTAATGAAATAAAGTAAATTTTCCCTTTAAAACTAATTTAGCCCGTTTTATTGCTTAGTCTAACATCATTAAGGCCTGCAAGTTGCGTAGCGTAAGGCCTCAATACAATAATTAATTCTAAGCTGATAAGTAGGCCTCCAACTGTCCTACTGTAAAATTGACAACAGGCCTACTAATTTAAAAATGAAATTAAACTAATATTAAATCTATTCATTCAAAAATAAATTAATAAATTAATTAAAATTGAATATCTTACAACTAATTTTAATACGAGAGAATGTGTAAAGAATAATAGCCTTTAATTTCAGGCCTTATAAAGTGAATAATTTAAACAATTTAATTGGATATTAAACTTAAAGATAATAATTTCAAAGCCTTTTATTTATTAATTATAATTAATTGTTTACAAATAACGAATAGGCCTTCGAATATACCGGCTTTTAGCAAACGTTTCGGGTGATTGGATTTAATTGCGCTTTTTAGACTCATTAACGTTGAATGTAATTAAAATTATGAAGTTTGTGTAAATGCACATTATTAGTTTACTTAATACTTAGTCTAATGGCAAAATTTATATAATTAATTTTTATTAATTAATATAGGATTCGAGTATAAGGCTAGCGCTTATAGGCCTGCTTGTGTTTATATAGTTTATTACCTAATTATTTTCCTGATACGGATAATTGATTTATTCTAATTTTTTATGGTGATTAAATTGAACTTTAAGTAGTTTAGAAAAAAAAAATAATATATTAAATTAGACTTTCGAGCGCTTTAAGCGTTAAGAAAACAAGCGTTTAAAGTACAGATTTGAGCAACGTTTCTCACCCTTTAAACATCATAAAACATCCTAGAAGATCTTTTAAACATCATACAACATTCTAGAATATCCTAGAAGATAGTTTAAACATTCTATAGATCCTAGAAAATCATTTAAACATCCTAGCACATCCTACAAGATCCTTTAAACATACTATAACATTCCAGAGCATCCTATAAGATCCTAGATCATTAAATAAATCATTTAAATATCCTAGAAAATCATTTACATCATTTAAAAATCGTAAAACATCATTTAAGTTCTTCAAACATCATAAAACATCCTAGAAAATCATTCAAACATCCTAACACATCTTACAAGATGCTTTAAACCTTTTAAAAACATCCTAGAAGTCCCTTTAAACCTTTTAAACACTATTAAAATTTAAAAAAAAAGGTTTTATCTTATTTAATTAGGCATTAAAATTACACGCAAAGGCCATAATTAAACTTAGGCCAATCGCCTAACAGATAAATCCTAAGTCAAACAATAGATTTCTATAAAATTCCTATTTGTTAAAGAATAAAAAAGAAAGAAAAAAAAACTCGAAGAAATATAAATTAATTACGCTTCAACTAGGCCTGTAACGATAAGATAAATATATTTTAAGTTATATTTTTCATAGACCCGGAGAGTGAAATATTATTATTTCTATCTGACAAACAGAGTAAACTTATTCGCGTGCATTTTCTCCTCCCTTTTTTCTTTGATGTTCTCCTATTGGTTTTCGATGGTTGAACCATCGCCGACATCTTATCTGATTATTTTTCTCCTTCCTTATTTCTTTATTTAAATAAAAATATATATATATATATAAAATAAATAAAAAATAAAACATTTAGTAAAATGCTATCCTTTCGCATTCTCAACGTAGCATATTATGTTTAGGTGGAGTTTTAACAATAGCATTTTACTTACTAACCCAATTTATTTGTTTAACGACGTCAAAAAATACCGAAACTGTACACTCCACTTGTACATAATGTGATATTTTTATCGTATACAACCGAATTTAACCCATCAAATCTTATAGATTCTTATGGAAACGTATTCTAGATCGTAACTACTGTTGTAAATTTCTTCTAGAATATTTCATTTCTTTAATAAAAATTCTTAATTTTTAAGTTTTAAATTTAAAAATAATAATAATAATAATTAATATTCTAACGGATTTTTGCACTTTCTAAGTGTTTTTTTTTTTATAATCGATTAAAAATTGATATTATAGATTTATCTAGAATTTAAGGTAGAAATTCTACCTTAAATTCTAGAGCGCGAATAAATTCTAAGGGAAAATAATTAGCATTAAATACAATAGAATAATTATAGAACGATCTAGAATATAAATTTAAACGATAAACTTGAATACAATGCTTTAGATATAGTTACTACATTATAAATTAAAGTCTAGAACATAGAACTTAAAGCTCTGGAATATGGACTCTAACGTATAAGCTCTATAAATAAGATTGTAGAATATATAGCCTATATATATATATATCCCTATAAAATATTCATATATAAGTTACTAGATTATAAATTAAAGTCTGTATAGCTTCTAGAAACTGTTTTTCCCCCCTTTCTTTCGTCCAATTCTCTTGATTACTTTAAGTGTCGTTACGCTTATTTAAATTTAAGAATTTATCACCAAAAAAAAAAAAGAAAGCTTTTTAAGATATTAAATCCTGAAAATATATTTTTTTTCGAGAAAAAAACAAAAATATAATCTTCGGATTATGTATAAAGTTTGAAAGTTTTAATGTGTACGGCTTTAATGGAACCCAGGAGACGACATTTTCTAGAGAACGATTATACAAGAAGCGCCTGTGTCTGTGTAATACGGCATTATAAAGAAGAAGCGAGAGAATACCGTGAATTGTTTGTGAGTTTTAATAAAAATAAAAACCTAACTAAGATCCTATCCTAATTGTTTTTAATCCATCAAGGATTCGTCGATGCGATAAATTGTTTTATGATTCCTGGTACGATCTACAAATGCAAGTGGGTCGGACAATCAAGCTGATGGATCCTCCAGATCACGTGGTGAGTTTGTCGGTGATTAAGACCACCATTAAGTCCCAAAGCGGGACATGGGGTCTGTCCTGACTTGTGTCAAACATTAATGACTCAATACAAATTTAATTACAAGTAGAACGCTCTGCTTGCCTATGTCCCGCACTCGGGGGACCACACAATCGGTCACATGATCCCCGAGATGCCCTCTAATATATCTAACTTGAAAGGTCTGAAGTTTTAAAGCTCTATCTAGAATTGTTCCGTTTTAATGATGTTATATGAGGTCTTGGATGAGTTTTGACTTTTATAGATTGGCTACTAGTGGTCCTTAACTCAAAGGGTAAACAAAGTTGAGGGCTTTAATCAATGGCGCTTTATTTTAGGTAAAGGGGAGAGAGAGAGAGAGAGAGAGGGAGAATCGAAAAGTTTTATATAAATTTTGTCTCATTTTGAATTTTATCAAATCTCATTGTTTTCGGTGGTGTTGACTCTTCCATTCGTTACTTCTTTTCGAGTGTACGAAACGGCCGCAAATCGAAAAGATTCATGAAATTTTAAAGATGAAAAGGGGGGCCATCAGCGAATGCTTCGTTTACATAAAGTTAAACACGCTCTCGTGCCATTTTGAGAGATGACAGAAGGATCCTTCCCATCGATTTTTCATTTATGATCATTATTTAAGGCCATTTTATCAGAAATTTTCTTTAAAATCTCCACATTTAACTCCAGTATAATTCTAGTAATTTTAAAATAAATAAATAATTTTTTTATTTATTTATCTATTTATTTTTAATCTATACAATTTACTGTATTTTGTAAAGTAAAAAAAAAAAAATTACTATAATTTACACGCAGCTTGAGAAAAATATATTTGAGAACAGTTTTAGTAGCCTATACAGTTGTAGCCCAAAAGTCAGTTGACTGTGTTTAATGTATTTCGTACGCACTCGTGAATATGAATTGTAATATTTTAAGAGGATAAAAGGGCTCGTGAGATGTTAAAATCATGACTAAGTATTCGAATAAGATAGCAATTTTTGGGTTTAACAGCGGTTAACAAACTTTTGGGCCACCCTTTAAATATATATAGCCTATAAAATAACAGACGTAAAGGGTGGCCCAAAAGTTAGTTAACCACTGTTAAACCCAAATTGCTATCTTATAAATATAAATATATAGGTTATATATATAGGCAAAAAATAATAGAATAAATTTAGAAATTAAGCTCTTCAAAACATTAAAAAATTATATAAAAAATTTTAAAGTTTCTTTAATAAATATTTAAAGTTATTTGATGAAAATAACGTAAGAATTACACGGAAGTACTACAACTTGTGTATCTTATAATTGTGTGAAACAGATAAAAACAATGAGAAAAATGTATATAAAATATTTAAAAATAAATAATTTAAAATTTATTTTTAAGACTTTTTCATTATTTTCTCTAGTAAATTCTACTTATTTGGCGCATCTAAATAGTGTTTAATCTACGGAGAGAACGTATTTACAAAGGAAAAAAAAAGAAGAGGGGGAGAAAGAGAGAAAAAAAAAGTGTGTAGTTTTTCAAAAAATTTAGATAAAACTTTTCAAAAGGTAAAAGCGCATTGCTAGAAGAATATTATAAACAATCTCTCGTAACAAAATCGATAGCGGTGACGTTAAGCAGGCGGCCATTTTGTGGTAAAAGGCATGCAGAGAGAGAAAGAGAGAGAGAGAGAGAGAGAGAGAGGAGATATTCAGAAAAGCGAATAACTAAAGTGCTTCAGCTTTTTTTATTTTTTTTTTGCCATTTTTATATAGGGATGTCATAATTATATGAAAACTTACCTGCACTCTAGCTTCGGTTAGATCCGTTTTCATGGCGATCTCTTCTCTGGTGTATATATCCGGATAGTGAGTCTCTTGGAAGGCCCTTTCCAGTTCTTTCAATTGGGCACTAGTGAAGGTTGTTCTGATTCTCCTTTGCTTGCGTTTTTCGGTTAGAACCCCTTCGTGGCCAGAGTATACTTTATACGGTATTCCAGCTGCAAGAGATAAGAGATTTTTTTTTTCAACGTTTAGTTTCGCTCATCTTCCATTTTTTATACGTGAATTTATACATTAATACATGTAAAATTTGAGGAGTTAGTTTTTCTTCCCTTCCACGTATTATTTGGGAGTGTTTTATCCGTTTTATGGCGCCATTTTCAGTCGAACGGCGCCTAGGCCTGGCTTGTTTCTAAGCCTAATTCGAATCGATTAAGTAGTGTTGAAATGTATAAAAATTCCTTCTTAAATGCGCTTAAAATAAGTCATTTTAGTCGAAATATCTTTAGTTTATAATCCTTCTTTCCTGTGGTTTAAATGTCTTCGGCTAAACAATGGTGTGAGGTATTCCTGGTAAGCACTTATTAATTAAAGATATATTGAGAATATTGAATTAAATTATAGTTCTTACTGTCCGTCTGTTGACTGATACGAAAGATTAGTAACTAGTCAATTCGTAACGCGAAACATTAAAGGCTACACTAGTCAAGTGGAGGGTGTAGGCCTACAAAATGTGTTCGTTTTTTCTTATTTTTTCTTATGTTTGGAGGGATACATACTAAAAAAGTAAATATAAATAAGCTTCAAATTGTTTAGAATAATTATTACTGTTTATATTTTACAATTTGCTTATTGCCTTTGCCTTGTAGGACAGTTAGAACACAGAATTCTTGAAGGCTAATCTATTCCTATTGAAGGCTCTCCGATACGAACGAAAATCATAAAAACAAATATGAAATTCGATAAAGAATCCTTCCCAGTATTTAGTTTTACCTGTAAACATCATCTAAAACATGAAAATTGGTGCTTTATCGAACATAAATAACATGCTACTGAATATATCATTTATCACACAGTAAACAAAGGAGAAATCATGTTTTACTTCAGCGAAATTTATCTACAACTTGTAAACTTTGAGATAATTTATTTAGAATTTGCAAAATTTCAATTCCTGTGTAGAGCAATGCGAAGATAATTTTGTCTCGCAGCTTGTATTAGTTTGTATTAGAAGAGGAGTCATCAGCAATTATAAGTATCTGGCTGGAATTTTTCTAGCATCAATATGCTTGCCATCTATCTACAATACAGCAAGAAGGGCTCCATTTGCAACACGTTATCACTCTTCAATTCAGCTGCAGTAGCTCAGAATCTCCCCCAGATCCACTCTTCTTACAAAGGGCTTAACATATTGAGAATCGAAATGCAGAGAGATTTGGATGTCAAAATTTGCGATCTTCCGACATCTTTTTTTTTTTTTTAATATCTTCCAATTGTACAGATGGGGGAGGAACCTCCAAAAATGCATGGTTTATGACGGACGAAAAGTTAAATTCGATTTGAAAACCAAAATGATGGTTATTTGGCTCCGGATATTTCTTACAAGAGTTGTTATTGGTCATTTTGTGTGTCAATCGGTCATTAAAAGTAAGAAGCTGCAATCAGTGCTTGTTATGTGACATTAACACACTCATAATTACAGTAACTCTAAGCTTAATCTAATCACCAAGTGCATCTGATTAGATTTAGATGTGACAGCGACAGACATGCAATTGCTGCTACTGCACAAATTCGTTTAAAGTGTTCTTGGTAGACAACAGGTTGGTTCGGTCTACGTCCTGACCTTTGTCTTTCTCCACTTCGTTCGGATGTATTTTAGCTACATAATCTAATTCTACATGTTTGCTTGCTAACTATACATAACACTTTATACGCCCACAAACAAGAATAAATTGTCTTTAAATTAAAACAGCTACAAAACCTGATTAATCCCTATTCGAAAGTAAACAAATTGCCCTAAAAATTAGGGATTTTTTCTTGAAATTAACTCACTTATTCTAGCCACGATCTACATACACTTTACAACGAAGCATTCTAGCATCATGTAGCGAGTTATTGTAAGTTTTTACATGCGTATACCTACAATATTTCAATTTCTAGGCCTTAAAATAAGCCTAGAAGTGGAAATGGCTCTAAAAAACAGTTAAAATATGAAGAATTTATGGTAAAAATTAACCATAGAAGCGAAATAACACAGCTTTGTAGACACCCCTCGTCTTAAATAATCGCATATTAAGTGGTTATATCTATGACTTTTTTTTTTTTTTTTTTTAATTTTTTAGAAATAATTTTTGACAATTGCTCTCATTACATTCCTAGACAATATTGGACATCATTTAGAAGTGAGAGTTTATAAGACATAATTACATAATCAAAGCAGGAATGATTCAGATACAGCTAATGAGCTGAGTGGTCAAGAATTTCAGAAAATTTTTTGAAATTTCCATATTCATATCATATGAAAGATTTTCTATTCACAGATTTATAAATAAAGAATCTTTCGATACTCATATATTTTTTTTACAAAAAGCATTGCCAAAATTTCTTTCACCAGTAGGAAAAGTGACATTATGGAAATGTATTATCAAGTTCTGCCTAACATATTTTCTTCATGGCAGTAATATGGCTTAGATTCTGTACAACAGAATATATTCTGAAGAAGTCTGCTTTTAAGTGAAGACCTTGTATGAGAAGTATTCTAGTCTTTGAAAATTGTAGAAAATAACTATCTTTTCTAAAAAGATACTTCAATGACATGCATTACTGCAACAGCAGAACAGGGAACAAACTCAAACAACCACCTATCCTGAAAAATTGGGATAGAGGAAGTTTGTTGTGGAAAGCAAAATCAACAATCAGACAAAATCAGCTTGTTACAAGTTGTTGCCTCCAGGAATTCTTGATCTAAATTCATTCTACCATACTATCTACTGACTTATGCAACAGGATGATTCAGATGTTGCAAAATATAGAAGAAATTGCTTCTGACTCCAAAGCATAAGCAGGAGTATCAAGANTTAATCCTTAATTAAAAGTACCAAAAGTCTCAATTTAAGGCTTTTATCTTCAAAGAGATTATCAATCGAATAATTTAATTTTATCAAAACTTTTGCCTTAATTTCAAGTTTAGAACGATGTCTTTATTTAAATCCTAACCTTAAAAAGCCTTATTTTAACTTGAAATTCTACTTTTTAATTTGATTTTCTTCAATTATAGTAAGACCTTAGTGCATAGTTTACTCTAAATTTATAGTCAATAACTCTAAAAAAATATCATAATTTAGATTTTTTTCATTAAATTAGGCCTTAAACTAAAGATTAACAAAGGCATAATTTAAATTTTATTCTTAATTCGGCTGCTAAACCCTTAATTATCTAACTTTTGCCTTAATTCAGCTTCGTTATCAAAGAAAAACAGAGTTAAAATTATTAATTATATTTAAGAATAAAAATTAAACTAGGCTAATTTAAGCCTTAATTTTAATGAAGATTATTCTACTCTAAGCTTTAATTATGTTTATAAAAGGAATCTATTTAAAAATTCACTATTAAAAGCAAAATAGTAGGAATTAACGAATTTAAATTAAGAAGCTATAAGAAGTAGGCTTTAATTTAGTTTAACAAACAAATTATTTTATTATTGAAGTGAATTTTTTTTTTCAATTTAAATGATAATATTTTATTTTGAATAAAATTAAAGCTTAAAGTTAACTAAATTATAAGGAAACAATAAACAAATTAGTTGAGTTTTCAGTAAGCTCATAAAGCATAGGCCTAGATTATGAAGAATGGAAGGTTTTTTTCGCTTAAAATATGGAAAGGAAAATAAAAAAGTAGAATAAAACTATTCTAATTTAATATCTAAATAATATTTTAGTATAAAAATAAAATATTTTTTAGCAAATATTAGAAATTCTGTGCTTAGAACACGGATCTGATGTATGTATGTCCTTAGCCTTAAGCATTTGAAAATGGAGAGAGATGTATACTAGCTATTAACCGAAATTTATGATGAATTTCTATATTTAGACTTATAAAAAATTGATCTAGACTAACAAAATTAGTATATAAAACTAATTCGACAAATCTGGAAGTAATATTTAGCTAAATTTCGTTTATAATCTTTGTATTTTCTCATAAGTAATGCCTGATTTACAGGACTTAAAGAGAGTAAAACTCTTGTGAATTTCATAATTAAAATAAATAAATAACTTATACGTATTATAGAGTAAAGGAAACATTAAAAGATTTATTTAATTATTTAAAATTAGATTTAAAATTATCATTAGCGCTCGACGTAAAAATGATTTATCAATGTAAAAGTCGTGGGCCTGAATATGGATGCTGTAAGGATGAAGATTATCCATTTATTGCATGATGCGAACAAAAGTTTTCTATAGAACCTGTTAGTTTAGAATGCTTTGGACATGATATAAAAGTTGTTACACGCTTCATTCTACTACAAAAAAAGGGAACCTCCGTACATGAATGACGATTAGACTTAAAGTTGGTGACAAGTCGTCGATTTTCCCCGGTTCCAACCATCATATTTCTACAAATCGTTCATCAATCAGTGAATGAGACAGAATCATGCATCTGTGCATGGAAATGAAATGTAAATCCCTATTCATCATTCGGATAGTCTACAAAAATTCTAAGGATGTGACATTCTGATATCGGGTCAACATCACCCTCCATACTTTAAGAGAATTTGCTCAAGATGCCGATTTTGTTACCCGAAATATCGAGAATTCTATCAACTTAACCTTAAATAATGATATAAATTTAAGTATTATGTAGAATTTAAACTCTAATTTTGTTATTTTAATGTGTTTTAGAGTTATTACTTTAATTAATTCATTAATAATTCATGAAACGGACTCTAAGTCTAAAGAAGTAGCTTTTGAGTCGATTCTACATGCTCTAAACTCTCGAAATTTTTAGAACGGAACCTTAATTAGAGCCTTAGATAAATTTTAGAGTTGACAACACAGACCTAGGCCATAGAAACAAGAAGGAACCACCCTCAAGTAGCAGCTTAGATTGTGTCTAGACTTGTTGATAGATAAGAAACATATTGAGATAATCAGACAGGATGACAGGCTACGAACTGATTTACATCTAATTTAAATTCAATTTAACTTGATCATCCTTTAATCCTTAACGATCGGATTAACGATTTACTAAATCCTCCATTCGCTAAATTAAGAAGTAATTTATAATTAGTCTGATTATAGCATTAGAGAGAGATCAAAATGGTGACTCGACTGTAGTGTTAAAGCCTGAAAAATCCCTACATTTCTGGTAGATTGCGTGTAAGGATATAAAACTTGAAGAAGCTTTAGAAGTTTTTTTTTAAACATTCGATTTGCAGCTTTAAAATTAGCATAAAGCCCCCAAATTATGCAAATTTCGACTAAAAACATATTTCAAACATCCCAAAAAAAATGCTTAATTCATTGGCACGTCTCATAAATAAATATAAAGAAGGAATTGATTATATTTTCATAGACATAAACATGATTTTCCAATCGTTCGAACTTTACATTCTCAAAATGGAGTCAATGTTTACAAGATTTGAACTTAAAAAAAATCAAAGATTTATCAAGAAAATACCCTAATTTTCTATACATAATTTAAATAAACGTAAACAATTCATTAATACGGAAGGAACATAACTTAAAGACACGCGACTGTAAGTACTGTACCAACAGTACAACGTGCCCATAATGGCATACATTAAATCTTAATTTAATAATATATTTACGCTAAAAACCCATCGAAATTTTCTTCAATGCTTAATTGTATTCTGGACCAAGTTGCAAGCATAATTTTCAAATGTTAGTTACAAGATTCGCTTAAGGCACCCTCTATGGAACTAAGATTCTGAAGAAACTACATCTTGAACTCCGGATCAAGATAGAAAATTAGGTTTTGGGCAACTACATTCGAGACATCACCCATAAACATAGGGGAAATTCCGTGCTTTTTGTAGACGAGAAGAGTAAACACGTTTGGAAATTGGCAATTAATCGGTGCTAAGAGTTGAGTCGAGAAGGAATTTAAGAATGTCGAGCACACAATGGACACACGAGAGGAGACAAAAAGGTAAAAAAAAAAAGAATTATCCCGGCTGAGAAAAAGTGACGTCGACATCCGGTTTTGTATGGTAGAAACGAAGTTGTAGAGAAAAACTCACCTGCAAGACGAATGTGGTGAAGAGGGAAACCAACATTGGCAAGAAGAAAAGTGTATATGGCCTAACGTAACCTTGGCCGACGGTCAAGTCATACTCGTCAGATTTCGCGTGCTCAGCTGGCCCGTTTCCTTGATCAAATTTGGGAAGATCCGTCGTGTGCATCCCCCCTCCCACCGTGTTTCCTGATTCGGCGTTGTGGACCGCAATGGGGGGAGAAGATCTGTAACTCGGTTAGCCGAGACTCGGAATTGATTGTAAACAGGAAAAATGATGAATATAAGAGAAGTAAGAAATATGAATTGTTAGAGAGGGAGTAGTCATACTTAATCTAGCTTGAGGGGCAAGACAAAAACCACAGACAAAAGATAAAATCGCATTAAGAGAGGAAGGGAAAGGAAAACCAGATTATTCACAATAAACTATATTAAATTATTTAATTTTCTCTCCTAACTGGGTTAAGCTAAGACTTACTCTGCAGTGTTACTCCAGGAGCGAACATAGGACCTGTAGACTGATCCGGACGTGGACGTGGCATCATGCAGTTACCTGGCGCCATAGCCGCAGTCGGTGGTGCGGAAAAGGACCTGGGTACCGTAGCAGGTGTGTAACGATAAGCTTGAGTCACCTGACCACACGAATTCAAGTCGGCATAGGAACATGGCAGTTGGCAACTGGGTAGTGCGGGTTCTATAGCAGACAGGGAGCAGCTGTTATCGTAGGTAGGTTGATTTAGGTAGGAGTAGTCCATAGTGGGATGCATAGCTCCCATGTCTTCTCCTAAACGTTGGTAGGCAGACATCTCAGATGTTAGAACACGGCTTGGGTCCTGTATGGCAGCTGAATGCACGGCCACCGTATATAGGACCGCCTCCGTATACAGCTTCACCGCTCCACTGCCTCCCCGCTTCTCTTCCCCCTCCTTTAGCCGCACTCTCTGGAACGGAAAGAGGAGCGCTTCTACAGCGTTTTAGTTTCCGAACTGCCCGCCTGTCAATCGACAGTCCTCCCTCATGTCTGTGTTTCTATCGCCTAATTTGATTAAAGTTTTGAGTAGAAGTGAAAATGCTGCGAGCTCCTCTCCAAATCTGCCAGATTTTTGATGTTGGAATACCTGAGGTGGTTCTTTTTTTTTCTTCCTCCATTCCGTTTTGCTCAGTCTGCCTTTTTTGGATTTTTCAATACCTTCGTTTAATTGGTCACGTCCGTTTGTCTGTACGTTCCGGTTTCTATTGCGAATATATCTTTTGATGATGCTAACCGCTCTCTCTTTATATTTTGTTTAGATGCATTTGTCTCCCCCTTAATTTATAGATCGGGACTTTAAAGGCTCCGTACAAAATAGGATTTTTTTTTTACATTCTTCTTGATTGTTTACCATTTTTATACATTTCTTTCTTACCAATTTGGCTCAACTTAGCTATTATTTCAAAGAAATAAAACATCTTTTAACTTAAAAATCCCTGATATAAAACGAATTAAAATTAAAAAAAAGAAAACACTTTTAAAATATTAAAATTAATTATTTTTAAATTTTAAACAAAAAAAAACCTTTCTTAAAGATAGATTTTTAACGAAATACCAAAGCTAAAGAACACGAGATTTGCGGTTTTATTATAATGTTTTTAAGGCTTTTAATCACTTAAACCTTTATTTAAATATATTAATTATATAATTAATTAAATAATTAAACCTTTAAGTTGTTATATATATTTAAATTTCTTTTAAAAAAAAATTACCCAAATACAGCTCCACTTTACAAAATAAATAGACGTTTGTAGCCTGGTAATATAATATTTATTTGAAAGTTTTGCATGTGTTAGCCCGTATATTTTAAAATTTTAAACAGTTATATGGCTATAATAATATATTTTAAACTTTTAGCGTTTATTTCCGATCAGTTTAGCAAGTTTATTTATTAAAAAAATTCGGTTTTATTTATACGAAATTCTCTTATAAAATACTTGTTTCTTCAACGTCTAAACAACATATTAAGCAATATATATATATATTTTTTAATATTAAATAAGCGTAAAATTATATTTAATTATATTGAATTGATTTAATTTTTTTTTAAATTAATTTATTTAATATCTTTTAAATCAATTTATTTATTTAATATCTTTTTATTAACACAAACATTCCTATTTTGAATATAATTTTAAATCGTATTTTAAGGGAAATTCTGTATAATTTTTAAAAGAAACTGTACAAAATTCCCTTAAATAATACGTTAAATTATTTATTTATTTATTTTTTATCTTAATATTTAAAAAAATAATTATTTTAAAGACGTTAGAATTTAGCAGGAATCGTTAGTAAAAGGTATCGATGAGAGGTTTTTAAATTAAAATTTTAATGTAAAATATGTTCGTTTATTTATTTATTTATTAAATTAATAAATTTTGGAGGTATTTTTTAACACATTTCTTTAAAAATAACTCCAAAATTATACTTTAGTCGACTGTAAATAGAGACGATACGATGATTTTTGTATGGAAGGTATCAGGAGCCATCAAGTTAAATTTAGAGATTTAGAATAAAGATTACGGTTAAAATTATATTATATAACGATAATAATTATTATTTTTTAACATTATCGAACGAAAATATTCATAAAAAGTCACATTGAAAGGCGAAAGAACAAAAATGTTTATTCCTTTATGCACGGAGTTTAGAGAAGCAAAACACGCTTTTTATCGTTCGTTTGTTCAATTTAACCGACCGATAACAAAAAAAAAATGGCAATTTTTTAACAATTTACCAAAGATAAGAGCTCTTTTAGGAATGAATAATGTTGAAGAAGTTGTTCATGTCGTTGATGTGGCACCAACTGTCATGTAGGCGACAAGACAGCTTGAGAACGACAACCGCCAACCGTTTCAAAGACACAGCTCGTACATAGTGGGCGGAGCTAAATTCCACCATCCAACCAATAAGGCTGCAGCATCCTGATTAATTCTCTCGTGTCAAGAAGCGAAATCCTATAATGAGCTTGGGGCGTGGTTAGCGCCGTTGATCGATAGAAAGACGTCACGAAAATGGCAAGAAGTAAACCAATGAAATGATCGCGGTTTGATTGATGATACGACGTCACCGGCCGGGCAACCAATGAAATACGGCCGTATTAATTTTTGTCTTTGGTTGTGAAACAATGTCACGTCCAGGAGAGAATCCATTGTTTGCGTTTTCACTTTTGATTTCTTTTATTTTTATTTTTATTAATTATTGCGTATGAATGAGTCCAACTTTGATTTACGTTATAATCTAATTAGGTAATAAATGCCTAATTGATATATTTTACTAGGAATTCTATAGTATTAAGCCTATTAATTAAGCATTTAAAAAAAATAATGTCTCTTTGGTATCTTTATCACTTTTTTAAATGAATTTTAATTAATTACTCGATATATTTTCGGGACAAATAAATAAATTTACTGTAAATAAACGGAGTTTTAAACAATTTAAACACAGAATTAAGCAATTTATTAGGATTTAAGCTTTGTGAAAGGTCGTGTAAGTACTAAATTGTCAACGTTGGTGGCTCGAAAATTTTCAAATTTCCTTAATAAAAATGAATTTTTTAATTAAGTTTCCTACTTAATTAAAGTTAAAATAAATAAGCCCACACCATTCTAATTGTAATTAATATGTTTAAAATGTATTTTAAATTATATATTATTTAATAATAGATTAAAGAAAAACTAAAAATAAAAATAAAATTCTAGTGTGATGCAGGTTAAAGAAGCTGGACTTTAGAAAGAGATAAAGTTATTTTTGGGAGTTGTAGAACTTGAAGTATATATTTTAGTAGGGGAAAAAAATCTCCTGAGTAAAACAAAAGAGCAAAGAATTTAGGAAAATAGCAAAGGGTTGAGAGAAAGAGAGAAGACTGTAGGAAAATCTCTCTCCTCCATCTCCGCAGCCAAATAAAGCCGATCGATTTTGAGCACCACGTGACCCCGAATGCCTAGTGGGTCAGTTGCTATGGTAACTGCTGTAGTACAGTCTGTTTTGCTAAGTCAATGGCTTGTAATCGCTTGAAACGGAGGAAGAAAAATTTATGGACAATTTGGTGAGAGAGAAAGTATGATATAATTGACTGCATCCTGCTGGAAGTTTTACAATAAACTGTATGAGTATTATTGAAATTAACAACACAAGTTTAATTATAATAAGATAATTTTTAAATAGTTAAATAATTTTCTATAGAATTTATATATATATATATACATATATTATTTTCTCCAATTGTTCGGCTTAAAATAGCTAATTCTTCTTCGGTTTGGTAAGGGGAGGTTCGTAAACTACGTTAAAATTTGAAGACTTTTTCTACGTTCCAAATTAACTTACATTTATGAATAAAACTCGAAAGAATTATAAAATTACCTAAAAGAATATTTAATAAACATTTATAAATGATTTTCAAGGAAATTTGAAGTTTTGATTTAAAAAACAAACTAGCTTATTTGTAGAGCTAACAGCTGTCAAATTTAATGCTTTTTTTTCGTCCAAAATAATTAATATANCTTATTCAGATATTTGCACACTTAATCATATTTTAATTAATTCTGTTCTAAATTAAACATATGATTTATATTCACAATTATATATAGAACACAAATTGTTAACTAACTTTTGGACCACACTGTATATTTATTTCTAATTATCGTCTAATTTATTTCTTGAAAATCTTTTCTTAAGAGAAAGACCTGTCTTCAGTTCGAAGTAATACAGTAATTTATTGATATATTTTATCTTAAATGTAGATTATTGTGCTGTTAAATATGACAAATTTATTCTCATTTTATGCGAATTTTTACAAAATTATGTAGTAATAATACACAAGGAATTACAGTTCTTATGCATATTTTATGTAATTAGTTACAAAGCACTTTTGCACTATTAATAGCTGTTTTAAAAAAATTATTATTACTTAATTTATGGTATATTTAACAAATTTATATGTATACAATTATATATATATAGAAGAAACAAATCATATAAACGTTTAAGTTATAACTGCGTGGCAACCTTCACAAATCATGTAGAGAAATAGCATACTTACAATGTTTTATTATGTGTAGGTTACATATGATTAAATATATGTTAAGATCTCTTTGATGTAAGTAAATTTAATGAAATACAGTACAATAAAATTTGATAGGCATATTTACTATAAAATATAAAAAATAATTAAAATTATTTTATATATTTTTCTTCTCAAAGATGTAAAAGTTTCCTTTCTGATCTTTGAAGATTTTAATTAATTAAGCTAAAACTTTGTCCCCAAAATTCAAATTGCCACTTTAAACATAATTGATCTGGACGAAAATTTCGTTAATAACTCATTAAATTAAACAATTATAAATAATTTTAATTTTTAAATAAAATATTTGTCGTAATCTTTCTCTTAGTTTATAACGTATTCTTGCCTTCATTTTATATACGAAAACTTGTAAAACTTTAAATTTAATTACTTTCATTCTATTAAAATACAGGCCTGTAATTCTATATTCTGCATTACATCAGGCCTATCATTTTCTCACTTAATTATCTGAATAGTGTTAATTTCATGCCTGAACTTTATCAAGTTTAATGAGAATTACTATCATTTCACAAAATTAATTTAAGCTAAAGATCTAAATTTAGAAAAAAATATATATATATATATATAAAAGAAATTAGGTCTAGATTAATAATTATATTAATCTTATACAAAATTGTAAGTATATTTTGTGTTTTTCTTAACCTTACCTCTTGTTAAATCTAGCTCATGGGCTTAACTACAACTCTCAATTCGGTTTATACGTCTAAAAATTAACTTAATATTTAAAATCTTAGCTTAAATTAGCATAATCTAATGGCCTGTAAATTAATTTCAAACCATACATTCTAATCTTGTAACATAGACTGTGTGACTAAATCCCTAATTCTAGTGTAACTTATAGAAAACCTTAAAAAAATTAGGGGCTACAGTTTAATTTAAAACAGACAAATTAATAAATTAAGTGAGTCTACAAGCATTTTAAATACTGGTGTAGAGCTGTGTTAACTTAAACGAGCAGAAAACTGATCCATGAAGTCTTATGCATAAAATATAGCCTATAGTAATTAAACTAGGCAAAAAAATAATAATAATAAGGAAAAAAATCACTCATTAAATCCTCACAATACTATCAAACCATAAGCTAAAAGACTCAACAACTAATGAAAATGAATGTGAAGGGTTTGGTAACACAAATTGAAATTCATTCATAATTGAAATGTACTCCACCCAACACCATTGGAATTAAGAATAAAAATATCCTCTCTTCTAACCAATTTCTTTGAATCATTAAATTTAGATTTAAGAATTAGATGAAGTGTTCTACAATTTAGATTTAATTTTATTCTAATCAAAATGAATCTATAACATTACCATTGATTCTATTCATTATGAACACTTAAACGTCAATTTTTTTTCTAAAATTGTCTTTATTTTAAAGATTATCTCATTCTACAATGATAGAAAATTAATTATATTTTAATTAAAAGAATGAATCTTCTTGGATTTATAAACATTTTGTGCAAAGTTTATCATAATAAAGGAAATAGGGATTGTATACTCCTTATCTCTCATATATTTTAATGAATTCTGTCGTTAATTATCATCGACTAAACTATTTTTTATGATCTATAAAGGCCTCATTAACGTAATTAAATATTAAATAAATGTATATAAGCTTACTAAGATTGTATAAATAAATTAATAAGAGAACTAAAACATAATAAGGATGCATAAGTTCTATAGAAACTAAGCATGTCTTTCAATCTTACTATCAATTATAAGCTGTAAATATAATTAAAAATATGTTTAAAACATTTTAAAAGTAGATTATCAGGTAGTGGATCTATAGTAAGCTACAATAGAGTAGTGTGGGGAAGTGATTTAAGTATAAAGTAATAAATTATTACTTTTTTATACAGTTAAATGGCAATTAAATTCTTTAAAACTCATCGAAATTATAAATAATTTAATTAAAAATATAAAATTAAATGCATCTTAGCTTCACCACCGTTTAAAAGCGTCACCCACCACACTAAAAATTACAATGTACTCGTGTAAAAATTCATTGTAATCCAATATTTTTTCAAGAATTATATTAATTAATAGTCTACTTGAATGAAGATCAATGTATCAATCCAACATAAACATTTGTATACGGTACTTTCCGCTCTTGACCCTCAAAAGTAATAGGCTAAATTGACTAAACTAATAATAATGGATCATCCGAAACAATTTCCGATAACATCAACTTTTCGGCTCCTCCTCATCGCTTCCATAGGGCATAACGGCATCCATTCAATCTACAAAAATTAAAATCAATTCGTTGGTCTCCCCAGGCAACGATTTAGTAAAATATACAACGTGTTAAATTTTTTAAAAAAAATAGGGCTTTAAAAGTAAACTAGATATGCAATGCTGATGGCTTTAAACTAGAATAAAAATTAAAAGAGAAAAAAACTAAAGAAAAAAAATTATGTAGCAATAAACAAAGTTCTTGTGTTGAAGAAACTTTCACATTTAAAAAGTTTTGTAGAAGAGAAAAATACGAAAAATTCCCTATTTGTTGTGTGTTTAAGTGGTAATTGCATAAAAATAGAAGTTGCGAAAGTGGCAGCCGGATGATCCATCAATGGTCAAAGTCTTTCATTTGACCGAATTACGTCCGAGCCTCTTCTTTCTTTTTTGCCAACTAAACGTTAGGAAATTGAATTTGCGGAGAAGAGCCGTCCATCTGTCAGTCCGGCCTTACTCAAAACTTAACTCTTCTTTTCCATCACCTAACTAGGACAAGTCGTAATTTCTCTGATCGAATGCTCTCTTTTACTCCTGTTTTATCAATCCCAAACCTCTTAGTCATAACACAGAAAGTTTTTCTCTTAATTGGCGACCCTGAAAAAAAAATAAATAAACAAAATAAAATAAAGGAAAACACAACAACAAAGAAGCCATCCACTCATGAAAAGAGAGAAATGGTGAATCTTCGTTAGAACAGATGGTATTTAAACAAGTTATATTAATTAGGGGTTCCCTATAAGAGGGTATTTTTTTGGGGGTATCAACACCCTTAGTAGAAAGGAGCCCTGAGTGAAAAGAGCCCTTGAATGAATTGTCAACGTAACATAGGGCTAGGGGCAAACTGACCCAGCTGGTTGCTGATGGTTGTGTCAACATGGACTGTTATCCTGTACACATCTGTCAAAATTATTTTGAACTCTTTATTATTTTCTATGGTGTAGAAACAGGAAAGAAAAGTTTTCAAAATTTATTACTTTTTTATTATATTCTAGAATTATAATTTCATCTAGAATTAATTCCCTTCTTCCCTCTTCTTCCCTTCCTTCATTTACAATTGTCTTTTGCTAGTAGCATCGATTAGATCTAATTTATTGATCTTTTTTCTTATTTTCTTTGAAGAAAAACTTTTTGTTTTTATTTTTTTCCCCCTGTTTTTCTGGGGATTTTTTTCTTCCTTTCTTTCTTTGATAATTTTTTTCCCTAAAAAAATAAATAAAATAATTAAAATTTTATTTTCTAGAATTATAGATTTAAGCGGTAAATTTGTTGAACATAAAGAATTAAAATGGGGAATAAAAAGGAAATTTATCAAGTAAAAAAAAAATCAAGTAAATATTAAAAATAAAATAGAATTAAATTAATAAAATTGATTTTAAAAAATA